TATGATGTATGCATGTATATATGTATGTATGTATGCGCGTTTATTTAGTGAAAATTTAATCATTTTCAATAACAGTTTGCTATAACGCAAAAATATAAATTTGTTAACACTTTATATCAATTCTTTTGTCATTGAAATTTATTCTAACGAATGAATTTAAAACTAACATATAGACGTGTGAATTCAATGAGATTTAACATTTAACTTATCACGACCGATCTCAAATAAACGACTTTTTACTTTTCCATTTAAATTCTAATTTCGATGTTCATAGCATTGTTTTTTATCTCTTTTTATTATCATATTCAAACGTTGTTTTTTATTTATTATTTCTGCCGTTTAATCGAATTAAAAGAAAACAAATGTTATTTATGTAGCGAACTATTATATTATAAAAAAATAAAAACATTCGTTACTTAAAGTGCGCTGGTAGATTTGGTATTAACACATTCACGTTGGAAGCGTTTCGAATCGAACATTACATTGAACCGGAAAACATTTTTCAGGTTTTTGCTTAAATCGCATTACGTTGGAAAAAAAGAATAGGTATTATACTTTGAAAATAAATAATATTTGTGGAAAATATTGAAGGTAAATCACATTATCGCATTATAATGTATATTTTCTTTTTTTCAAATGCAATTATCAGAGATTATCACACACACAATCTGATATATAATAATTATTTATTTTAAAAATCACAATTATGTATTTTTGTGTCATCGAAATCCTAGTAGAAAACGCGTATTACGCATATATAAATAATCCAATGAAAATGTGTTTAACACTAAATCTACCACGTGCAATCAAACGCGATCGCGTTCTAAAATTAATAAAATATACAATAAAAACGCATACAAAATATGTGTACATTATACATTACTATGTAAACAAAAATAATTCCTCATCGCCCAATAATAACTAAAATCTCATTATTACATTAACCTATATACATTTTATAATAAAAAAAAAAAAAATATATCCCCTTAAATTAAAAATCAAACGGGAAACGAAATATAATTTGAAGCGTGATTAAACCAAAAATAAATGGACTTATTTTTCCAACGCAATGCCATGTAAAAATCATACGTAACAATCTTTCAATACGTGTTAAATAAAATAAAAAGTAAAGAAAACCATAGTAGATAGAAAAGCATAGTGAAACATTTATTATTCTATCTTTTATACAAGTCTTCATTATTTTCCTCTTGTTGTTTTTCTTTTTCTTCTTCTTCTTCTACTACTTTTCCTTGTTCTTTATCTGTCACGTTTCAGAAGAAACAGACGGTGGGAGCGTGATGATACAAGGACCGAGAGTTTGGCCTAACAGTGGCACCATGATACCAGTCGGCGTTGCTCTCAGCATCGCCTTAGACTGCATCTCGGGATATGCAACACAACGAGTCCTCGAGCTCGACGACGACAGGATGCCGTGTAAATACGACGAGAGTGGAGTCTACAACCAGCAAAGCTGCATATCTTTTTGCAAGCAAGCTTACGCGGTCAAGTACTGCGGCTGCAACCCGTCCTTTCTATTTCCATCCAGTGAGACCATCCACTACTACCTACTTTAAATCTTCCTTTTATACTACTCACAATCTGTGCTATGTACATATATATTCTCATAGGATATAACTATGTTACTAATATCTATATAGATTAATTTATATCTATATTTCAGCAAGCACAGATCGCGATTGCAACGTAACTGATCTCATTTGTCTAGCGGAGAACAACGGTTAGTTAATTATTATTTTATTATTTATATCGTTTTATATTAATATATATTGAGAAATTATTTGTTACGCTATTTATATATAGACTTATATTCGTATAGAGTTTAGAATTAAATGTAATGTACCTGAAGGTGTTACGATCCGATTCGTGATATAATCCAAAAATGAATTTTTCTCTGATTATTATAATTTACAGATATTAACAAGTATTTTTCTATAGTGTAATCATTTGATTTTTATAATCAGATAATTGGCACGAAAAAAGTTTGCAACAATATTTTTATTTAAATCCTTAAATGGATCATAAGATTCTCGGGTACCATAGTTCTATCAATATATATGTTACCGTCAAAGCCAGAAATCAGTCATTGCTAGTAATTCTTTGGCATTACTATGAATGCAAAGAGCCTTCCGATGAAGTCGGAAATAAGACTTTTTACAGAGTTTTTCCTAGGCATCGAACATAATACTTTGATATCCTATAGAATATCAAACTACTATTTAAACTATTTAACTATTTTTAATTAATTAACTATTACCTATTCATTATTATTAGAATGAATTAATTTCATTCTCTGACATTTTATGAACTTTTGCAGATTGATTTATAACTCGATATGGTATTCTACGCGTAAACAAAAGAGTGCACTTTAATTTAATATAAGTTTCATTAAAATCTATTCACTTTTACTATAAAAAATATTTACCAAAACTTTTCAAAGAAATTGCAAAGATGCACAAATTACAGCATTTCAATCTCTGACATTTTATGAACTTTTGCAGATTGATTTATAACTCGATATGATATTCTACGCGTAGACAAAAGTGTGTACTTTAATTTAATTTAAGTTTTTTTTAATTAAATAATTAAATAAAAGAATTACTAGCAATGACTGATGTTCAGCTTTGACAGTAACATATATATATAAATCAATTTTGTTTCTTTTTTTCTTACAATACAGATATCTTTAATTCGTATTACGTGCTGCAAGACCAACAGATAGCCGACGACAAGCCAGGAATGATATGCGATTGCCCACCTGAATGCGAATATTATTTCTACAAGCCAAGGTTCACTATAGTACCGATATCGGGAAGCAAGAATATCACCATGGACGTGCATTTCGAGACGCAAACGAGCTTTCGATATAAGACAGATATTGTCTTATCGAAATTCGCCCTCCTTGGTAATTGACGTCATCTTACATTACCATATCCAACCAAAGCACAACAAGAGGCTTCCATCCTATTCACTATTCTCCACGATGCCCTACTACCATTGTTAGGAGAGCTTTTGTTTATTTTTTAGAAACGTTCTTCGAAGATTACCTACAGAGATTACCATGAATCTGATCTAATGACTTTATGCATGTACGCAATACCTTTTAACAAATTAATAAGTACCTGTTATCGTTATATACAAAAAAAAGAAAAAACATCGATTAGGTTTACCTTCTTTATCTCTCTCTCTCTCTTATTTTATTTTTTAATTGTTTCACACCAAGCGTTACTTACTCGCTACCATTTATTTCACCAATTGTTTTAACGATATCCTTTTTTTTATTTTTATTTTGTTTTTTTTTTTTCTCTTGTTCTCTTTTTTTTACTTCATTTCCCTCTCTCTCTCTCTCTCTCTCTCTCCCTTTCTCTCATCGAGTTTTTATACAGCTAGTAAATTTTACGAGGCCGAATTACGATGTTCTCGGAACGCTTGGAACTACATAATTTATTCGCACGCGCCATACCATATACCCTATCCACACTCTGAGACTCTCTAGGATATCTCGCATACATTTTCATCCCCTTTCCCAACACACCCCCTTTTCCTAGCTTCTGCAGAATTATAAATTTATCTCCCGAAACTTTTCATTCATATTGAATTAATTCCACCTCAGTCGTTTCGCAAAACCACGTATTATCTAGCTAACGAAAATGATCGTTCTATCAATTCTTTCTTATTCTTTCTTTCTTTCTTTCTTTCTTTCTTTTTTTCTTTCTTTTTTTCTTTGTAAGTAAACCCAGGACTCAGCCACGTTATTCTTTCGTAAATGGGAAAAAAGTTTCAAACTGTTTCCGTTGATTTTTCAACCTTTCTTTTCCAATTATTACATCTACGCCCGCGGAAGTCGATGAAAAGTAAATATAACCGTTGGATATGATATTAAATTGTTCTGGATCTCTTTTCTAACCGTATTTCTAAATTTCAACTATCAAATTAGTACGTTTATGAGAGATTATTATTTTTCGAACTCGAATCATACGCTTTTTAAATGATTCCAAATTTCAATTTAAAGAAACACCACGAAATTCTATTAGGGGAGGAAAAAACCGTGTTTCTCAGTTTCTCAACGATTAAATCATAAAATTATAGATATTTATTTTTCGAACTCGAATCATACGCTTTTTAAACGATTCCAAATTTCACTTTAAAGAAACACCACGAAATTCTATTAGGGGAGGAAAAATTCGTGTTTCTCAGTTTCTCAACGATTAAATCATAAAATTATAGATATTTATTTTTCGAACTCGAATCATACGCTTTTTAAACGATTCCTAATTTCAATTTAGAGAAACACCACGAAATTCTATTAGGGGAGGAAAAATTCGTGTTTCTCAGTTTCTCAACGATTAAATAATAAAATTATAGATATTTATTTTTCGAACTCGAATCGTACGCTATATTTAAACGATTTAAAATGTAAATAAAAAAAAAAAGAAAAGAAACACACCAAATCCATTAAATGAACAATTAACTATCCCTAGGCTAATGATCATTAATCGTGCAATTTATTATTAACGTTGAATTTTTTGGGTCGCGATTTTTCTACTAAAAAAAAAAAAAAACAAATAAAATAATAAAAAAAATAATAAAGAAAGAAGCATAAATTATTTTCTTATCTATTGCAGTGTCCTTCGGCGGCATTATCGGTTTGTTTCTCGGAGGTTCTTTGTTAAGCGCGGTTGAGCTCGTTTACTATCTTCTAGTTCTACTGTATTGTTATGTTTCTTCCTGGTACGAGTCGGCTAAGCGAAAAGTTAACGTCCAAAGAGGAGGAGGAGCAGGAGGAGGAGGTGGAGGTGGAGGAATAGGAGGTGAAAGAGTAGAGAAGGAAGCTGTGGCAACGGTAATTCCAAGATTACCTATTCTGGATTACGGACCCTTGAAATCACGATCGAGGAAGATTCCGAATCTACTCGTCTACGATTACGCGAAGCAGAAACCCGACAGATATTGAAGCAATCAGGGCTACACTACCACGCTGGGCTTTACTTCCGAATATTACAACCACCATTAGGATTTTAGAATTTTCCACTACAATGATTTTATCTACAAACATTGCATAACAGAAAATAATGAAAATAATCTATAACCGTTGTTGTGTAATCATTTATTAACTTATATTATATGTTTTATATATTCTTTTGTTTTTCTTTTTTCCATTAACAAAATTATTATCGATACAATTGAATTTAAAATAATATTTCTTATCTGTTTCACAATAAAAATGTAAAATATTTTATTTGTAAATCGTCTCTCAAATATTATATAGACACACAATATATTTATTTATATTATATATATTTTATCATCATCATTACACACACAATCCAAATGCAAAAGTAGTTATTCTTTTTTTATCTCAACGGGGTTTGTGTTGATCTTAAGAAATATTTGGAAACGTGGAAAATGTATGAAGAACACGAAAGACAAGTGCTGTGTAAACAACTTCATTAAATCGGTACTAAGAAATGCGGAAAAAGCGACTAACAAGGGTGGAAAGGAAAAGTGAGGGGTGGGTGGGGAGTACAGGGACGGGGTTGGAGGAAAGACAGTAGAAACCGGGCAGAAATGTCACGTGACGAGACAAGTACCACTTCGCGTATTCACCCTCTTTCCTTTCACCCTCATTCTCTCTCTTTCTCTCTCTCTCTCTCTCTCTCTCACTCTCTCTGTGCTTCACCCCTTTCCAAATATACGTATATCACGCGTAGTAAGTAAAATTGTTCCGTATAGTTTCCGCATTTTCGTTCTTTACCGTCATGGGAATGCTCCGCATCCGGTACTAAGCGTAAATGTACATGAAACTGTCTGACAGGCCACCCATTTAGCCATTTATTATTTATCTACGAGAGTATACCAAAGAGCTAAAGGTAAGGTATGCGAGAAAGGTGGTGGATACAATAAAGGGGGAGAGGAAAGGGAATAAAGGTAAGAAGTAACCTTGGGTTACTTAGTAACAACTAGTAAACGTACATACAATATGGAAGAATTTTCAATATCGTTTATATTAGAGAATGTTCACGTATGTGTGCATATACATGTATGCATATGCGTGTTTAAAGGGTTGGAAAAAATTCGTAATAATTTTATAAATATATATATGTTCAATTAAATATTTTTACACCAAATTTCTATATATACGTATTTGTATAATAATATATTTCTAATATATTATATTTTGTCATATTATATTTGTCAAAAATATCGACAAAGAACACTTTGAATAATTTAATGATATTAGCAAATGGTTGTTTAAAAAGTTAATAACGATTCGAAGAAAAATATATATATGAATTTTCTTGTGGGCTTGCCGATTTGTTTAAAAAATGATACATGATTTAATGTACGCGCATATATATATATATAAACGTTTATCTCCCTTCAAGGTTTCTCGTCATACTTGCAAGATTTATCCGACGCAGAAAGATAAGAAGGATTGCCAAAGAGTTTAGCTTACATGATTTTTTTTTTCTCTTCCTTTTATTTTTTTTTTTTTTTATTTTTACTTTTTCCCATCACTTTTTTTTCCCCAAAGCATCCGTCAACGGTTTTCGTCGTATTAAACACGTACGTCGTGTTCTCTGATAACGACGTTTCCTTTCCTTCCACTCGAAAAAACATTACTGCATTCGACTAATTTATAGTGTTCGCGAGTATACAGGTGTGCATTTGATAGGTTAAAACGAGTTTTAAAACGATATCGAATGACGTCATAGTCGAGTACCTCAATACGCGATCAATTAAAACGTTAATTTGTTTTTGTAATTTAATATTTCCCTTTTTCCGTGTTTTTTCTTTTCTTTTTTTTTCTTTTTTTTCGAGTATTACGATAACGATCGAACCTATTGTGCGTGTATTTTTATTTTTGGTTTCTTGTAAATATTTGCAAAAAGAAAAAAAAAAAAGAAAAAAAAAAAAAAGAAACAAAATAAATCGAAATATATTTTCAATTTCCTTTTTATTCAATTTCTCTTCAAAGAAAAAGAAATCGTTAAGAGTAGGTACGTTCGAAAAGTTCCAAGACTATTCCTTTCTACCAAAGCATTTGTTATACACGTAAGTTAGGAGAGTAAATATTTCGAGAAGCAATGAAGTATTTGACTTGGAACATTCTACGAATATAAAAGAAAATGTCTGTTAGATATTCCTGTTTTATTAACGATAAAGATTCAGGCATTGTTGTTCTACTTCATAGAAAATCTTTTATCTTCGATGAGAACAAATTTATATATATATATATATATCGTAAGAAAAATATATTAATCAAATAATTCATACGTATTAAAAAAAATACTTATAAAATATATACAATGATAAGAAACAAAATCCGTCAAAATAATCGATAAAAAGTCACGTGTATAATTACAATGCTTAAATAAAACAATAACAAAAATACGTTGTAAAGTATTGAAAAAACAAAAAGAAAAAAAAATAAAATTAATCAATATTTTAACGATCGCGAAAGTTTTGATTATAAAACAATATTTCAATGCCAAGCTGAAAACATTTCAATCCAATCATATATCTAAAATAATATATTTACAATAAAACAAACAATGCATACGTATTTCAATCATATAATATAATATAATATAATATAATATAACGAATACACCACGATCGATGAAAAAAGAAAGAAAACAAAAAAAAAAAAATGAGATCGATATATTATTTAAAAAATACTTATACAATAGAATATATCATATAAAAGGATAAAAAAAACAATCCGACAAAATAATCGATTAAATGTCACGCGTATAATTAACGTTGCTTATAAACATATATATATATATATATATAAAACCGTGTGGTATTCGCGTATTTATTTCCTACGTATGTCTCTTATTATTATTATTCAAGAGAGTAGAGAATAAAAGTAGAATAAAAATGAAATAAGTAGAAAGGAATAAAGCGACGGATAAGGAGACGCGAGTTCGTAAGCTTTTATAAGCTCGCGTCGTTGGTGGATCGGTCGTCGAGAGACGTTAGCCTTTTTAGATGGATAAAACTGTCTGGTGTTAAGAGACTGTCTGTCTCACTTTCTCTCCCCTTTTTCTCCCTATTTCTCTATCCCTCCTCGTTTTCTACTTATCACCCAGCGCATGTCTGTTCGACGTGGCCTTACTGATATCAGTAACAGCTTGGGAGATTGGTGGTTTGCTCGAGAGAAGGTGAGAAAAGATAGAAGAGAAGTTTCAGGAATATAGGAGGGTAGAAAAGGAAGTGGGAAGAAGAAGAAGAAGATGAAAGAGGTTGACGAAGCCCGAGCTTAACTCTCGAAACGAAAGTTAAAGAGAGAGAGAGGGAGAGAGAGAGAGAGAGAGTTGAGATGAAAAGAGAGGTTCAAGTAAAGAGGGGTGTAGAAAAAGCAATCGTTGTCGTCAGGGAAACGAAGGAAATCTGCATTTTGTCAAACTGTTGCTCGGAAGTTCTTAAGAAAACAGGGTTGAAAGGTGAGAAAGACACGAATAAGAAGAAGAAGGAAAATAAGAAGGAAAATAAGAAATAAAGAGAGAGAGAGAGAGAGAGAGATGAACAGATCAGAGTTAGAAAGAGAAAGAAAATAAGAAAAGCTTCTCCTTGCACAACCATCCTCCTTGCACAACCATCCTCCTTGCACGACCATCCTCCTTGCAATGACGTACCTGACGAAGGGAGAAAGGGGTGATAAAGAGAGGAAGTGATAAAGGGTTTGATAGTAAGATTGTCAAGTCGAGAATAGGAAAAAAGAAAAAAAAGAAAAGCAACCGGCACGACCGGTCGGTCGGTTCAAATAAAAGAAGTAAGAAAAGTTTAGAAGAACTCTCCGATGTGTTGTTATCTAAACCCTTCACGTACCTAAAGTACTTCGAAAATCTTCAGGGATCTTCGAAGGGAGAGAGGAATACGACCAAGTGACAGAAATATACTCCAAATTACTTTCGATAATGATCGTATCTCCAACGAATCCTCCACCCTCCTCCTTCCTCCTTCCTTATCGAATCGCATTCAACGAACTGCGCTCATGACTTTTGACTTTTAATCGTAGAAAACTTTATAAAGGATCTTCAATCGTTTATAAACGTATATATGTGTGTGTGTCTGTCTGTGTGTGTGTGTGTGTGTGTGTATGTTTGTAAAGAGTTCAGCAACGAATTCAAATAAAAAAAAATGGAGTAAAAAGGAGTTAGGGGAATACTCTACTAACTACACTTCATTCAGTGGGGTGTATAGGATTTATGTAAAATTGTGTTGGTACGTTATATTCCTCGCATCGTTGACATTCAAGAACTGACTATGAACTGGGATAACGGACAATGTATGACCGTCAATTTTTACGGAACACCTGGTACGAAGTCAATAGGGATTATCGCGTATACGATTTGTAGATAGACGCTGACAGCTCTCCTCCTCCTCCTCCTCTTCTCATATTCACGATCGACGTTTTTTTCTGTATAGTATTAGTTTCTTTTTTTTTTATTATTTCTTTTTTTTTCATTATTTCTAATATTAGTTCGCGTAATTAATGAAATTCATTTCCATTACCAATTCACGTAGTTACGATTGTTGCCTGCAATTTTGTTATGATATAACAAACAATTGCAAAATAATCGCATAATAAGAAAAAAACCAATGATTATAATATTTTTTTTTTTGTCGTAACGTTTTATTTATCAATGAACGATTAAGTTTTATGTTAATATAATAAATTTTTTTTCTCTTATCCATAATTTTTTAATATTATTACTAAGTTTAATTCTTAGGGATGTTATTTTTGGACAGGTTTATTATTTTTTTCTAATTAAAACCTGTCCAAAAAATAACATCCCTAAGAATTAAACTTAGTAATAATTAAGTTTTATATTCGCTTTTTATAATATGAGAAATCTTTGATAATATTTGAAATTCAGTTTGACAATATACTTATCGCTTCACTTTTCAACTTGAACGGCCTCCACGAGTCCCCAGCAGTCCATTGCAGTTTAAATCTTTCCAAAAGTGC